CGAACTCCTGACCTCAGGTGATCCACCTGCCTTGGCCTCCCAAAGGGCTGGGATTACAGGCGTGAACCACCACGCCTGGCCAATAATAATTTTTTTAAAAATTTAAAAGAGTCAAATACCGACCAAATGCAATGTATGGACCTTGTTCCACCCCCAGGCCTCCCCCTCCCAGTCAAGGGAGCAGAAAGGGAAGAATCCCTATGTGGGCATTCTGAGCAGAACTCTGGCCCAGCCTGGAGCACACGCCCACCCCGCAGGCCAGTCACTGTGGTGGTGGTGGGAGCCCCAGGACTCCCCAGCTAGAGCCAGGCGTCCACCCCTGGGGCAAGGAAGAGGAGAGACGGTTACTACGTGGAGGCAAGGAGGGGAGCAGTGTCTAAAAGAGGGGGCTATTGTTGCAAGAGGCAGAGGAAGAGGTATTGGGCAGACCCAAAGCAATAGATGTCCACTACAGCAAGTAACGTCCCTTTCCGGGGCTCAGTTTTCTCATCTGTAAAATGAGTCAGTAGCACCTGCCCTGCCTAGTTCATGGGGCTGTTGTGAGGGTTATATAAGATCATTCACTCACTCATTCATTCAGCAAATATACACTGAACACCAGCTTTGTGCCAGGTACCGCTCCAGGTGCTTGCAATACAGCAGGGAGAGGGACAGAAATCCTTGAGCTTATAGAGCTTACATTTTTGTGGCAGGATACTGAACCAAATCAATAAGTAAAATAAATAGTATGTTAGATCATGATGAATTCTATGGAGAAGCATATGACACTAAAGAGAGAGAAGGAGCATGAGCTGGGGAGAGGGTTTCAGGTGTAAATAGGGTGGTTAGGGAAGGCCTCGCTGAGAAGGTGACCAGGGATGTGCTGGCTGTTTTGTTAACTTTTAATTATGAAAAATTTCAAACACACCCAAAGCACAGAAAATCATACAATGAATCCCTATGTCCCCATCAATTATCTTCAATAATTATCAACGTTCTGCCTTTCTTGTTTCTTCTATCTCACCCCAGCCCCATTCTGGGAGGTGTGGAGAAATCTAAAGCCTATCTCAGATGCCTATTATTTCACCCATAAATATGTCAGAATATGTCTCTAACAGAGAAACACTTAAAACTATATGTAACCTCAATACCTTTATCCTGGTATAATAAGTCCTTAATTAAAAAAAAGAAATTTTAGAGACAAGGTCTCTCTCTGCCACCCAGGCTGCAGTGCAGTGCTGTGGTCATAGCTCACTGCAGCCTCGAACTCCTGGGCTCAAGTGGCCCTCCTGCCTCAGCCTCTTGAGAACCTGGGACCACAGGAGCACTCCACCACTCCCGGCTTCATTCCTTAATTTATGTGCTAACTCAATTCATGTTCAGTTTTCCCCAGTTATTGGCCCCAAAAAAATATATATATAAAATATATATATTATATATAAATATATATATATATTTTATAATTCATTTGTTCAAATCAGAATCCAAACAACGTCCATCCATTGCATTTGGTTGATATTTGACTTTTAAATTTTTATGAAAGTATTATTATTTGTACAGACAGGGTCTCACTATGTTGCTCAGGCTGGTCTCAAACTCCTGGCCTCAAGTGATCCTTCTGCCTCGGCCTCCCAAAGTGCTGGGATTACAGGTGTGAGCCATGGCACCCAGCCTTGACTCTTTTAATACACCAGTTGTTCCTCCTTCCCCCTTTTATCATTTATTGTTGAAGCCCCAGCGTCATTTATCTTATAGAACTTCCCACATTCTGGACTTGCCAAAGGTATCCTCATGGAATTACTTAAAATGTCCCGCTAGCTTCCATGTTTACTCTAACTGTAGACAGAAGCAGAGACTTCCTGAGATTCATATTTCTTGATTTTTTTTCAAGAAGATATTTACTGGCCAGTGTTAGATACATCAGTGGGTTCAGGGTTTGTTAGCCTGGTCTATTTGCTACATGCACCACCATGCACGGCTAATTTTTAAATTTTTTCTGTAGAGATGGGGGTCTTACTATGTTGCCCAGGCTGGTCTCAAACTCCTGGACTCAAGTGATCCTCTTGCTTTGCCCTCCCAAATTGCTGGGATTACAGGTCTGAGCCATCATTGCCAGCCAAAATTATGTTTTCCTAGTGTTGTTATTCTTTCCGAGGTCTTCCATAAATAAGTTTTCCCGGCCAGGCGCGGTGGCTCACTCCTGTAATCACAGCACTTTGAGAGGCCCAGGTGGGTGGATCACTTGAGGTCAGGAGTTCGATACCAGCCTGGCCAATATAGTGAAACCGTGTCTGTACTAAAACTACAAAAATTAGCTGGGCATAGTGGCAGGTGCCTGTAATCTCAGCTACTCAGGAGGCTGAGGCAGGAGAATTGCTGGAACCCAGGAGGTGGAGGTTGCAGTGAGCCAAGATCGTGCCATTGCACTCCAGCCTAAGCTGACAACAGCAAGACTCAGTCTTAAAAAATAAATAAATAAAAATAAAAAGTTTTCCCTCACCATCTATTTAGTTGTCCAGAAATACAGTCCATATAGGAAAGGCCAAGCAGATGTTAAATTTCTATGTATCAATTTCCTTAAAAAATTGATAAATAAGTTAGTGCCTAGCAACCTGTAAAATACACCAATGAGTTTCATTTTTTTTTTTAGACGGAGTCTCGCTCTGTGGCCCAGGCTGGAGTGCAGTGGCTGGATCTCAGCTCACTGCAAGCTCCACCTCCCGGGTTTACG